CAAAATTTTAAGTACTTTTTGAGTTTAAACCGGAATACATACAATTATAGTTTTCTCTTACCTACGATTTTATTTTATGTATAGGAGAAAGACGATGTGCTCTGTTTTTATAATAACTATCGTGAGACATATTAAATTAACAAAAAATCGAGGGTTTCTCAGGTGATCATACTGTGACTCGATAGGCTATGCGACATCACCGCGACCGCGCACTCTGCTCATGAGGAAGAATTCCTCTAATGTTCGAAGTTCCTCTCAGTATATTCACGTGAGTAACCCGCGATTTTTAGTTAACGATATGGTCTGTCGGTCTGTATAGATGTGGGCCATTCATATTAATGACAGCACCTTTGTGAGGTGAGTTAATACATCGATAACATAAGCCAGAAACCATAACTGATCGAGGATTTCAAAACTGAAGACATGTACTTAAATGTCGATGGCTCCGTAATCAAAGTTGCATTATATCTATAAGGTAGATACTATTTTAGATAACCCAAAATTATACACCGTAAACTGTAAAATTGCCTCGTTGGCCTAGGGGTCGCAAGTGCGACTGCTGGGCAAAGGTTCGATCCTCGGGTCGGGCAAACTATTACTGGTTTTTTTGTTAAATCTCAGAAGAGAAATGAAGTGTTGGTGTTAAATTGCGGCATTAAGTGCCGCATTTCAGTAATGTACTGCCTGCCCCTTAGGGGATGAAAGGCGTGATGTTATACTATGTTATGTAATAACTGTAAAATTAGTTCAATGAACGAATTATTAGGTTAATCAAGCTTTGCTAATCTTTTGATCACAATTATTATAGCCGAGTAATTACGCCTACGTGTGCTTAGGTTTTAAAGTTCATGTGATGTTAATTAGCCTTCATCGTATGCGTATCTAATGATCTACTTTGCCTACATAGTCCTTGGAATTATTTAGGACATTGACTGGAGAAAAGTAAATGGTCCAGATACTTTAGGCTTTATAAATTGATGAGGTACTTACCTAATACAGAATTCTTAACGTACTACAACTGTTAAATCTTACTTTTCAGGGCCGAATTTTCAGTCATCAGTTAATTCTTAACTATAGAATAAAATTGAAATTTAACAGTTTTTAGTAAAGAAAAATTGTCAAATACTCAAAGTTATATCTCAGTTAAAATTTATCTCGCGTTGGGAAAATTAGGCTTTAATAAAGAAAGTTTAAAAAATTTCGTTAAAGTAAAATCATTCATACTTAGATTTAAGAATAGTTTATATATGTTACAGAATTTCATTTATGAAACTGGTTCAGTAGTGCAAAATAATGAATTTCAGATTTTTAAAGTCTACACGAGTTCGCGTGTAGAATTCAATTTCGCAATAGTTAAGTTACTTAACACTTGTCATTTACATACGGTTTCATAATATTTTAACTTTCTCTTTTTTTTTCAGATAATACATAAGTATGTTTGTCAAGTGTATTTGTATTTTGTAATCGTCGAACCACACCTTGTTTGGTTAAGTGCATTTTGTAGCACTAATCTTAATCTTAATACTAAGAGATACCTTTTAGGTACTTACGTATGACTGATAATAACGTGATTGATTAATGAATGATCAAATTATTTTTTAAATCCTTCATTTCATTCTCTATTTAAAAATTTTTCTTACTACTTGGTTTTTTTTATATTGCACTCTTTATTCCTGAATTAATTTTTTTCCTATCAATAAAATAGATTTTGGTGACTTTTTCTATTTAAATAGTGAAATATTATTTTCAATTTCCTTTATTTCATTAAGATCACTATTTTCTTCATTCGCAGGTGGTACTCCAACCATCAGAAGCGGGAATAGTGGCAGAACAGTTAGTACATTGCCTTGGACTCCGATGGGACACAGCTGACTGGGAGGCCCTTGGCTCTTCTATAGGACACTTCAAATGGGCAGCTTTCCTTGCCGTGTTGGAAGCTAAATACTGTGGAGACCAACAGGTGCACCCAGAGGCGCTAGTTGAAGCCGTGGATGAAATATACGATGTCTTTATTGAAGATATTATAAAGAAGGTAAATATAAGTAAACCAACAGAGCATCAGAATATTTTTAGACGTTCCATGCCTATACATAAGATTGCATTACTGCAAATTTTAACTCCAATCATTCTATCAAAATATTTATTTCCAACTCATCTTCTATCATCTCCTGTAGGTACTTTCTTTAAGTGCTCAATTTTCAGTTTTAGTAACATCTTTTCATTCAACATTCCAGGGTTATCTATTCAAACGCGGCTATCTTCTACCCACAATGCGGGAGTATTGGTGCGTCCTCCAGCCTTGTGCTCTCACCTACTACAAGAGTTCGTCACAGAAGGAGCAGTGTGGTCGAGTTCCTATCGACGAGTACTGCTCAGTAGAAGCAGCTGCAGGGGAAGGCAAGATACAACGGTTCCAGCTCATCACACCTGATAGGACATTTGAATTTGGGACTCAAGACCATAAGTGAGTGGGTGTTTAGTTTCTACTGCCAGATAAATAAATACCTTCCGATCAAAATTTTGTTTGACTTAGAAATTTAATCGCAAATCAATTGATAGCTAACTTCGATCCAAAATCTTTGAATTAAGATCGATTTCGATCAAAGAAACTCCATGGTTTCTCACAAAGAGATCCAGAGATTTCGGATAACATCGAATATTAATTTCGGCCAAAGTATGCCAAATTTTTTACAATGTTCTTACTGATCAATTCTTTGTTTTAGTAGGTCATCAATTTAACAGCACTTGATGAAATACCATAAAGTTATTTGTAATTCTATAGGAGTCGTCTTCAATGGATATCAGCTTTGCGCCAAGCGGCAGCAGTATCAGGTGGAGTAGAAGGCTACCAGCGCCGAGCTCGGGCTATAAGGCGCGGAGCTGGAGCGAGGCGAGAGCGAGAAGTGAGGGAGACACGAGCTCGACTGCAGCACGAGGTGAAGGCAAGACTCGCTGCTGAGGCACAGGCACAGGTATGAAAACATTTCCTATATAGTAGTTTTTTTTAATATCGTGGTCCCTCATTACCTCGAACTTTTATCTTCATTGTATTTCTATATTTACTGATACAGTTCTTCTACTAGGCATGACTTATCATTTCCCTCAAGTTAACGCTATATTAATACTAGGCTTAGTTTGTTTGTGATAGGATGTCGTCTGACTGATTCATATCCTTCCTCGTACAATCTATTCATCTGTTTTTGATCAACTCAGTATACACTTAAATTAATAAAAGAACTTATTCTCAACAATATATTAATTTCATTTGGCGTAAGTGCATGTAATAATACAAATAATGTGACTTCATACCTCAGGAACTGGTAGAACTAGCACAGCAGGACAATAAGAAGTTAGAAGAACTGAAAAACGCACAAGTAGAACTTGAAAAGTTATTACAGGAAGAAACTCAAGCTAAACGAGACGAAGAAATTGTTAGAGCATTACAAGCTAGGTAAGATACGAAAGAACCACAAGAACTTTAAGCAGTGTATGTAAAACTAAGAAGTAATTACTTATAACATAAACTATACTTTCAGAGTATTAGCAGAAGAATGGGAGAGACGTGAAGAATTGGAGAGGCTTCAAGAAGAACAGAATAAAATGCTAGAAGAAGAAAGATTGAAACGACAGCAGTTTGAAAAACTTCAGGCTGAGAAAGAAACACAATATAGAGGTAAGCTATTTTCTTTATTATATTATTTATTATACTTGTACGATTTTTAAAGAAATAACATTGGTTTTTGTAGAAGCAGAAAAACGTCTAAAGGAGCTAGAAGAAGAGAAACAGCGACTGGACGCTGAACTGAAGGCAGCTCAAGATAAAATATCTAAGACTGAATACACGGCACAGGCGTTGCAGGTACAACTAAGAGTGAGTATAAATCTTTGATCTTCGTGCGGCCAAGACAAAACTTTATGTCATAAGTAAAACCCTGTACGTATATAGAATACTTGCAAAGCCCTCCATGAAACAATGGATTACTGATATAAAGGCAAAAATGCCCTGTAACATTAACTATGGGTTTTTTGAGGGGAGAAAATGATCGAATCCTTCCACCTGAGGTGAAGCGAAAGGGAGTCAGAGAGTTTTGGCGACATGTTCGTGGAAGAAAATCTGAGCAATTAATTTGCTGTTTGATTAAGGATTACTCATTCGAATTTTTATACTTTCATTTATATAATTAAATCATCAATCTGTTTCGCCAGGACATCAACCCAGTATTCCGTAACGGAGAGAGAGCTCGCCGTGCATTATCTTTCGTTCCGACCACAAAGAGTTCTTCCGATACACTCATCGACGTCAGAGCCATACGACATCTCAAGATCCTAGACGATGAGGAGAAATTATGATCTGATTTATAAACAATAATTATTAAAATTTATTATAAAGTAATGCAGCGTTGCCGATATTATATTCTATCTAGTTTGGCTTTTTAGGAGAAATTGTAATGATTATTTTACACTATGTATTTGATATGGAATATTAGATCTGCTAAGGCTAAGGACTCACGGCGGGATTTTTTTTTGCGCCCGCCGCGGTGGCGTAATGAAGACTGAATTTTCAAAACTCACCTGAACGGGCGGGTTTAACAATTAGTTGAGTTCCAGACTGGGCGTCCTCATGATAAATGTCCCGTCCAGTAAATTGCTTTTTTACATACATTATTTGTTTTCTACAAAGACTGCGGGCCCGCAACTGCGGCGGGTACGGGAGAATTGCTTCGTTAGTCCTTAGCCTAATGGAGTTCTATCAGTTTCTTGTAGATACGCTATGTCTTTTATATTAATGGGGCTTCTTGCACATAAATTAGGTTCAATTTTGTACTCCCAATAAAATGTTAAGAAGAGGAAAATTTACTGTAAACTAAATTAAAGCAAGTGCTTTTGGATATAAATAAAAATATACTCCTTGCTTACTAAGTTTTTTATTCGCACAACAGATGAACAATAATAGTATAACAATGAACTATGAAAATAAATATATAATTTTGGTGAACATTATTTCTATAAATCTAATCACTATTTCTTTGGTTTTCCCTTGATTAAGTTCGTTGGGACTTGAGCTTCTTGCAATTTCCTTATTATCTTCCTTAGCTGTAAGAAGAAGGAAATCAGGATGTCAGGATACGGATTGGAAGGATTTCAGGTAATGTTGGCCGACGTGAGGTAACGGGACATTATAAAATCTAAGTTAAGAGTACTGCCAGGAAAATATTATTAGAGTGAGCTAAAAATAAGACAAGTTCATCCAAATCTCATGTAGAATCTAAAATTGCATTAAGAAATCAAATAGAGAGAGATGTTGTAGGAAATTTTTGAATGAGGTAAGGACTAAGGATTAAATATAATAAAGTTCCCTTTATTACGCTTTCTTCTTTCCCTTTTTGGCTTTTCCTTTTAGCTGCATAAAACAAAACATTGAAATGAGTATCAATAGAAACGTAACTCCCAAAGAATCTGCACCATTATTTTTATTGCAAAATACATTTCTTCTATGAATTTACTCCTGAAGAATCATAAGCTTCAATAACTATAAACGTACCTTCTTCTTCTCTGCTCGGTTGGTCAGTACTTCTCTCCAGGCGTGCTGAATGACCCTCGCAGCATGGTCTATAAGGAACTTGTTCATCTTCTCCGTCATCTCCTGGTTGTATTCTGCCTCTCTTTCTGCCATCAGCGGGATGTACTCAATATCTTGTTCCGCCAATTTTTTCTGTTGGTCGCAAAATTGTGATTTTACATCTTATTTAATACCTAGATTTAAAGGAAGAAATAAAAATGCAAAGGGGTTCTAAATTGTATCTTCATTACTTAATGATCTATTTAATATTGAGAAGTTTCCATCTATTAAAAATATTTATAATTTTGTTCTTTGATGGATTTTCACTTGGTCATCAATCATTCAGTCTTACAATTGGTTTATATTCACCAAGAGAAAAATCCTCTAGGTTCAAAGCTTCAAGGCTTCATTACCTCTAATTCCTGACATTTCTCGACTTCATCTTCATATTTCTGCGTGAACTCGTCCAGTTCCACCTGCTTGTCACTCATCTCGAGGTCATACTTCTGTAGCCACGATAATAACTGCGTCTCCACTTTGAACCTTTGGAACGTTAACTTTGGATTTGATTACTTTAATAAAGGAGGTAACTTTAGATTGTAAACTTATATACTCTATGAAACGCAATAAAATAAAATACGTACTTACCGTAAGTACATACCTTGCATAATGTAAGGGGGATTCTAAGGGGCCAGAGCCGAGGCGGTAAAATATTTTGTAGGTACTTAGTAAATATGTATACTTATACCAAATTAAAATCTTAATCTGAAGGTGATTTGGTCCTCCTTATAAAAGGTTACTGTCCAAAATTACATTACCGTCGTGCCCTTTGATTTTTCTCCTCGATAAGATGCGACCTTAACAACTGCTCATACGCTTCTCGACTTTCCACCTCTTCTTCCTTTAACAATTCATTTTTAACTGTATGACTTCTAGTGGCCAGCACCATTTGACGCTCTGAATCTAATCTAAAGTTAGACAGATGACAAATATTAAAGGCAATTCTGCCAATACACATTAATATATATTATTATGAAATACTTAAAGCTTGCTCGTAAATCACTCTATCCTTTATTTTATTAAAAAACATTCGAAAATCTGAGTAGATAATAATTAGTGCAGATATATTAATTTGAATCTACATCATAAATAACATAATCTTACATTTTCTTCTTAAGTTTAACAGTAGCATCGTGGCTGAGTATGACTAGTTCATGTTCCAACTTGGTTATCATCTCCTCCTTCATCACCATCGTCTGTTCAAAACGCTCGGTCTCTTCTTTCAAAGTGTTTGAATATTCTAAAGAGATAGAAGTAAGAAGTACGTACGTATCACATAGTCAAGTCAAGGCTACACAAGATACACTATTTATCAGTTGTTATGAGTTGTATGTCCGTAAATGTCCAAATTAAAGACCCCCATAACACATTCAACGGTTTCTTGAAAAATAATCACTTGCTCAAACAATTCAGCACCTCTTAATTTGGATGTGCAAGTTCGACTTAGGTATGACTCAACAAGTAAACGGATGACCTGCACGGTAAAAGAAATATTATGTTAATTCAATTTGTAAGTACCTTTTATATGAGCAATAAGGCTTTCATTAGATGCTTCCAACTTCTTAGTACTAATTTTAGCAGATAGTTCCTCTGCCGCCGTAGTCTCCATCTGCCTTACCATAAGATCTCGGAATTGTTCAAGTTCCATCAAAAACTCAAAACCAGGCGTCAATTTTGTTTTCTAAAATATAACAAAAATTTTCTTAATAAAATTATTTTGGAACTATAT